TTAAATCTTCCACGGTTGCGTCACATACGGTACGTCCCTGTATGCTTATATATATATGTATAATAGATACACTTGTGAGCCTATAGAACATCCTCCCTTATTCATACATATTCATATAAATTTTTACAGTCATATTATATACAATAGTATCTCTAGCCTCAAACCGTACACATGTACCCTAGCTACGATAAATCTATGAGTTGCCCTTAGCATATTCTAACCCTGAAATGTCGTTCCGTACAAATTACATTACTCTTATATATATACATACACATATCCTGAGACAGCCCGAATTCTACTTTTTCCCCCTCGCATGACCTCCATGTTACCACTCCTACCTTCCCTAAATAATTAAAAACTTTAGCCTCATCATCAGGTCATCAATTGATTTAGGAATTAGCAACCAAGGGTCTTCAACTCTAAAAGTTGTTTAGGTATCCCGGGCTTCTAGAGGTAAGATTTATGCCTACCTAAAATCTAATTACCACCAAGATAAAACTAATTTTTCTAAGTGCTTGTGTGATTAAATTCTCAAGATAGAACCTTTAGTACTTGTGAACCTAGGCTATCTTACTCGTAATGACTAAAATATTTGCATGCAAATTGCATGGTTCAAACTATAGGTCGAAATTTATATTTTTTCATATGCATTACATGTCAAATCACATAACCCACATGTTTATGTTAAAATACACAATTACACGTACAAAGCATGTTAGACAAAAGCAGTATGTTATAAGGCATCCCACTATACATATATATGATATTATTAATTACAAGCAATCTGCATATGAGTGCAAATACTTGTTATGTGATCACCCACAGTTATCCATGGAATACAGAATGAAGATCCTAATTCTATTGTCTCCCCAGAATTTATTTACCCCATAAGAAGCAAGAGCCTTCCTCCTAATTACTTACAATCTTTTCCTCATAATCTAATTTTCGCTATTTGAATAATTGTTATATGATTTATGACCCTCCTGAATTTATAGGACAAAAGTTTGGTTATGTCACGATATTAAGTGCGTGAATTTAATTGTTAAATCATGCACTAGACTAACATGTGGAATGATACATATGTGTGCTTTATGATTCCATAGGACTAGTTATTATTTAAGACTTGAAATAGGTCCACATGTCGTCACACCCTATGCCTATAGACTTAAGAAATTGCATATTTAGCATAATTACGATTGAACGCATATAGGCATGCCAACTTGCAGGTTTCGCATATAACATAAATAGTTAATTATCATACATGTTATGATTTATTTCGTAACTGTGAATATTTGGTATAATCTGCTAAGCACAAAGATTAGACATAGATCCTACATATATGGCATCTAGGCTCACAACATGCTACACTACATAATTAACATCTGCATCCATTCGTAAATGAGGTTCGCCTGTGTTGATATATGTGCATATATACTTTATAATAATTATGTGGCTAACCGAATTTTTACCCGCGTGGTATTTGCCTCTCATTTAGGTACATAAATAATTACATGATCGGTACAACTTGTGATCCTATATGTTAAATCATTATAAAATAATTAAATAAAGAACATGCCATGTGTAAGACTTCTATGTTATGTATTAGTCTTCCGTAAAACTTACATATGGTGTGTTGCATATTCGAGACCTTGATATTTGGTGCATTTTTCTAGCACAATAGTTAGGCTCAAACCTAGTGAATTTATATGTGAATGTGTATATATTTCCCATATAATACTTTCCTTATGAACTACTATACAAATTCGGGCTCGTTACCCCAAAATGATTTCTATGCTTCGGGGACGAAGCTTCTTGTAAGGGGGGGGGGAGGGGAGTGTAACACCCCGTGTTACGGCGTTTAATCTCGAATCAATTATTTAATTAATCTCGTTAATAATAATTAAAAAGGATTTAATTTGGTTTGGATTCCCTTAAAATTAAATTAATATGGTCCACCATGGGCCATGGACCCTTATTTATAAACCAAACACCTTAGTCCTATAAGGAATAGAATTAGTAAACCCATACCATTCAGACCCTAATTAGGACTCCTAGATATATATATAAGGACATAGGAGGCACCTAGAAGTCACACCACAATAGATATCACCACACAAGAATTCCCAAGGGACTCCCCACCACCCAGCCTAGGGAGATCAAACGGATGGAAATCTTAGGGAAGAACCTTAATAGCCAAGGGAGGATTAATTAAGGCTAAGAGGTAACCCATGTCTCAACAAAACCTATTTTCTTCGCTATAATCTCCTTCCTTGTCCGCCTTCTATATGCTTGTGTCTTAATGAATCCCTCTATGCTATTTGTGATATAATCTTGATGATTGATAAGATGATTTATGTGTGTTCTTGATAATCTTGATGTTGAAAACAGGTTCTTGATATTGATGTGATGATTCTAGACGAATCTTGATATTTCTTGATGTTAAAGATAAAATATGATCTTGATGATTTGGGTGGGATTAGAGCCCTAGGTTGGATTGAGAATTTGTGTTGTAATGTTCTTGATATATATTTAGGTCGGAATTCGCATATTCGGGTGTTGGTTATGCTTAGAAGTCGTAATAGGATGAGTTCTACGTGATTCTTGCTTTTGATCCATTAATTGCCTACGTGGTGTCGTTAATTGCGTTTAAAAGTGTCTAAGCATGGTTTCGGGTTCCAAAACGGATCCCGAGACGGAATTGTGATAAAAGAGTCAGTGGGGGGTAGATGGGGATAGGGGAACCCGCCACCTACCCGCTGCCCGAAGATCACCGCCAGGCAGCGGGCAGCCACCGTGCAGCCGCCTGCCTGCCGGCAACCCGCTTCCCGGGCAATGATCTCCGGCGGGTAGCCGGCGGGTGACCCCCACCCACCGGCTACCCGCTGTTCCGTACCCACCCCGAGTCTTCGGCTTCCCCGTTTGATGTTCCCTACTCCCCGTGGTGTCCCAACGGACCCCGTTTGTCGTGCTTGAGTCTAGTTTGATATTTCCGGTACCATTCGTAGGATAAAAGAGTTTTAGTAATTGCATGCTAGTTGAATTGGTAACCCGTCGACCTAGGTGGAAGTGGTATGAACCCCTTACGACTATTCTTAGTATGTGAATGATCACACGTAAATTTATTTATATGTCTTCCCCTCCCAACGTGCTACTACGTGCTACTATGTGTTATGTGATGCATGATTCCTCAATTTGGTTGCGATCAAATTTGGTGTTCCCGAGCTGCGGTTCGAAAGTTGGCTGAAGGCCAAATTGATTGTTCCCGAGCTACGGTTCGGAATTTGGCTGAAGGCCGAATTGATTGTTCCTGAGCTGCGGTTCAGAAGTTGGCTGAAGGCCGAATTGATTGTCTATGAGATGCGGTTCATCTTCTTCGCTGCAATCACTGATTCACTTCTTGGGCTGCGGTCCACATGGGCCTCGGGTGCTATGACCCACCGACCTGGACGCGCCAGGCGGTGTGTAGGGCCAATAAGCGCGAGGAAGGCTGTAGTCCACCGACCTGAGTAATCAAGCGGTATGTAGGGCTACGGCTGGCTGCGATCCACCGAGTGATGGGCCAGCGGTGTGTAGGGTCGTAGTCTCCGAGGATATTTGCCCACCGACTAAGTCTCTCAGCGGTGTGTAGGGCTTGATCCGCTATGGTCCACCGACTGTGCCCGTCAACGGTGTGTAGGGTCGTATGTCCCCCCTTGTAAAGGGGATCACAGTCCACCGACTGGGCGCGTCAGCGGTGTGTAGGATTGTGGTCCGACGTTGAGTTCGTCAGCGGTCTTTAGGGTTGGTTGCAATCAACTCCCTTCATGCTGCGGTATGAGGTAGGGTGCTGTGGGGCCATGTTAGTGCTATATGCACTAACCCTCATGTTCGAGGCATGCGATTGGTCCCGTGGCACCACCAATGCTTATGTGATATGAATGATGTTTGGATGATGATGTGATTGAATTGAAAAGTGATCTGTGACCTTAGATGCGTATTCCTTATGATGTTAACTCTACTTAACTGTTTATCATTGATTAATGTGCTTGTCCCTATTTGCTGAGTCTATTCCTGGTTTTAAAGCTAGAGTCTCCTAAGTATATATCTTCCTGCTTCAAAATGATTTTTCCTATATATATATATATATATATATATATATATATATATATATATATATATATATATATATATATATATATATATATATATATGTACCTATATTGTATTTCAACGCTTTGGAGTGGGTTACCAGCATCATTCGCTGAACAGATATATTTGGCTTTCAGGCACAGATGAGTAGACCCCTGAGCGCGCTAGAGATCCGAAGCGTTTATTAGTTAGTTTCCCTTTCGGCCTACATGCCATGATTATGTATTGACATTGCATTGAGGATTTTAGATAGTTAGCCTGTGCATCTGGATTCTCCAGCTCAGATGTGGCATAGCACACTAGTACAGATTTGCACATCCGCTACCCTTGTAAAGGGCTATTCACTACCCTTGTACAAGGGTAGCGGATACTAGGGTCGCTGAAAACCCTGAGCTTTCCGCTACCCTTGAACAAGGGTAGCGGAAAGTTAAGAATCCGCTACCCTTCTTTAAAAGGAAGGGTAGCGAATACCATTAATTTATTAAAACAATCCGCTACCCTTCTTTACAAGGAAGGGTAGCGGATTGTTTTTTTATAAATTAAAAAAAAATCATTATTATATTTAAATTTCTCAATTTTATTTATTTTTAAATCCTATACGGAATTCATACACTACATATCAAACATAATACTACAATCCTACAATAATATTCATAATATAACGCAATCCACAACAAAATCTTTCGTCCATATTCAACATAATCTAAATTAATCATTCACAATAATCAATTTAATCCAACCATTAATAATATATCCTAATTAACTAATGATAATCATCAATATTTCAATACAACCAATATAAGAACGATTAAGCAGAACTAGTACAATGTATATAGTAAAAAAAGATGTATGAAATTCACTTGAAACAAATAAGTGCATTACTGATATATATAAATATAAATTAGATTCATTAATAGCCAAGCACATGAATCACAGCTAATTGATTCCAAGTTTAACAGGTGTTATAAATCTATCACAAGGGAGCTAAAACTAAGTCAAATATATCAGGAAAAGACTAGGACATTGCAGATCCAACTTCTGTAGTACACTGCAATAGTCATTTTATGCCAGGAAAAAAAACTTAAGTATCTTCATAATATAAAATAGTAAATTAAATAGCTCATGAGCAAGAATCAGAAGAAAATTAACTCTCCCAAACATTTTGCTATATTAACTTTAGAAAAAAAATTATCATCTAAATAGGCAAGCATATTTTCATTCACAGAGAATCCAAGTCTATTCCTCATTCCTACAGTTTTTTGAGAGATTTTCATAATGTTTCACAACAATAAAATTACCAAATTCAAACTATAGTTGCAGGTTCTCTAGAAGGTGGAAACAAATATGGGGGAACTGGAGAAGAAAAGCACTAATAACAACTAAACAATCTAAAACCTGAAGGAATTCCTTTAGTTAGTAGTTTGATTACTAATATCTGTCACCTAGACATATCAGCTTATCCTCAAATGTCAAAGTTCTTATTCTCCTTTCTTCTATTTGGGAACTATGTTAATGATCCCTTTGGACAGCTATCAAGTGATCATCAAGTGCTTCTATAGTATTATAGTTCAATAAAGTCAAGTATACCTAAACTCATACCAGAAAACTATAATGACCAACAGTCCTTGACCCAATAATTGCTTCTTTTAGACATATGTTAAGAAGATAGAGCATTTGTCTCTCTAATTGATTATCCCATTTATCTCTACTCAAATAAGCCTTAACAGAGATCTTGTTGGGGTTTGCTGCAAGAACTTCTTAGTTTAATCTTATTATGTAAAATGAACGTTGTGCACCAAACCAGCCTAATACAGATTGAAAACTTAGACACCCATCAAAATTCAACTATTTTAAGGTCACAAGACAAAAACCCAATAATCCTCATAGTATAGAAAGTATTAAAGTTAGAAAACTTCCAATCAAACAACCCAGAGTCAACAATTATTTATTAAAAAAAAAATTGAATCTAGAGATTTTAAGGACAATGCTTATACGAAGTATGGGAGTTGGAAGAAACAAGAATCAATAAAACATTAGAATACATTAAGACAAAACACACATATGACATAGAATTAAGGTGACTAAAGTAGTTAATTTAGAGAATTACCTTCTCAACAGATCACTCTCCCATTACACCCCTTCTACTTTTGATGGCATGAAGATGAGCATGGTTTGGGGCAACTTTGCGGGATGCAACAGAAACAGCTAGTTGACTCAATGAACCCCACAATTCTTCAACTACCTGTAATAACACTTACTGCATTATATACTAATACGCATGCTAGAGACTACTAAACAAATTCTAACAGCAATCCATGAGTATCTACCTCATCCAACTTTCGTCCTTCGAGAGCAGCTTGCTCTTTAACTCGCTTTAAAGCGTTTATCCTTCAAATATGGGTTGAGTTCTCTTGGATTTACTTTTCTAGTCTGAACCAGAAATAGAATAGAAAAACGGGTAATCCAACTTGATCACACAAAAAGCCCATCATAAAAATTCTAGTAGAGAAGTTAGAACTAATATACTTTGCTGAAAACTAACACAGAATTGTTCCACTTTGGGTAGAGGAGATGCATTTTTCAAGCATTTATGGGAGGTTAACAACTAAAATACATCTGTACCTTTGAAAGTAAATAATAATAATAATAATAATAATAATAATAATAATAATAATAATAATAAACAAAGCTACACCATGGCCAATGGCCAATAAACAATACAAGTTAAAGTGATGGTGATGCCCTATCCTCAGACTCAACAGATCAATAGAAACCACAGACTTGGGTCACTTATGATTAAGAGTTAGATAATTAGTATCATAATATGAGCAGTCAAAGTCAATAGGTCATAGAATGTACAAGAAACATACCTCCTCATCTTGATTTTCCTCGGGTTTATCTCAGCAGTTTTAGAAGCCTTCTCTACACTGTCTGCAGGCCTAAGCTGAACGTGAGGAAAAATCATCATCTGAAGCATGCCATTTCTTCTTTTTTCTAAATCCAGTTTTCACTCTTTCAAGATCATCATCTAAACTACTTAAGGATTCAGAGAAATACTGAAAATCAGATGGTTCAGCTCTGTCCTGGTTACTAGGAGAGGACCGAGGAGATCTCCTACATTTCAAAAAATATGCACAAATAAATAGATAACTGCGTATCTGTAACCACTTTGGCCAGATCTCCTACATTAGTCTAATTAGAAAAGCATTTCAACTAAACTGACCTGTATAGAGAAATTTCCATCTTCCAGTTGTGCAACACAAAAACATTTTAAAAAAAAAGAAGCTAATTAGCAAAGAGAATTACCAAACTCCTCACTTACTGCATCATTTAAAACAGATTCATCAAACACCAATGCATAAAGGTTGACATCTATGCCAAACAAGAACCAACCATTCATTCAGCCCCTTGCACCCATTCAATCTGGAATCACTAAAGTTGCTGGCCTTATCCAACCTGGAAATTCATCATGGAATGACACCCTTATTAATACTCTTTTCAACCAAAGTGATGTGAACCTCATAAAGAGTATCCCTCTTCCAGACAGCAAGTTAAAAGGATAAAATTATATGGACGGAGGATGATAAGGGTACTTACACTGTGCGTAGTTGCTATAATACTCTTGCAGGTGATTTCAGTTCTGTCCAAGTCCCAATTTGGACCAGATTCTGGAAATTCAAACTCCCTCCAAAGCTAAAGACTTTCTTTTGGCAGCTTTGTTCCTCCTCTCTTCCTACTTGTGATCGGCTGAGAACCAAACATATCAATGTTCCCGATTTATGCCAGCTATGTTCAAATAAATACCTATCATCAAATATACAATTATGCCATATTTATTCATCAAACAACATATTTATCATAAATAATTTATCAAATACATATTTCATCAAATAAAAAATAAACAATTTATCAAAATACCTATTTCACACAACATTTATTAAAATTCAAAAATAAATAATTAAAATGTCAAAATTCTAAATAAAATAATAATAATCAAAATTCATAACCAAAATCCGTACTTCTAGTCATATATTATACCATATATGCACACATTACTATATAATCCCAACAAAAATAACAACTAAATTCATATCTTTACACATATTAGGGTATATCAACAAAAATAACAACAAATAACTAAAAATTCGAAATAAAAATTAACAAATATAATATATATTACAATGATAATTATAAAAAAATAATTTTAACAAAAAAAAATTACCTGCACGTACAGTTCTGTTCACCAGCTGCCGACGGTGGAAGTCACAGAAGCAGCCGCGGCGGTGGCGAGGGTGGTGGCGGGGTCGTGGGTGGCTGATGAGAGAGGCGTTGGATCCTTATCTTGGTGGCGGCGGCGGTTTTTGGTCGTGGCTGAGGGAGTCGTGGTGAGAGAGGCGGTGTAAGCGGCGTCGTGGGAGGATGAGGGAGGCGCTGGTGAGGGCGACGACGGAGGTGTGGCCTATGGGGAGGAGCGCAGCGACGACGGAGGTGTGGTGAGAGTGATGGTGGAGGCAGGAAGACGCGTTGAGGAGAGGTGAGATATGAGAGTGAGCGCAGCTAGGTCAGCGAGATCTGTTTTTTTTTTATTTTTGTTTCCCCGCTACCCTTTCTACGGGGAAGGGCAGTGGAAAGTATTCATATTTACAATTATGCCACCGTCTTTTTTTTGGAAGAAAAAATCGCTACCCTTTTTTTTTAAAAGGGTAGCGGTTTCATATTCATTTATTTACAATTATGTCATTGTCTTTTTTTTTTTAACAATACACTACCCTTGTTTAAAGAAGGGTAGCCTAAAATCATATTTCTTTGCTCTATTTTGTACTAGTGGCACCACACACTCTTATGTTTGATTTTGGAATTTAATGAGGATTTACCTTTATTATATAAGTTTTAAAAGTTTCAAAAATTTAGGGGTGTTACATTAATAATTGCAACTGTTTAGAATTTCATTTGCAATTGTCGTTTTGGCCGAATGGTTAAGGCGTGTGCCTGCTATGTACATGGGGTTCCCCGCGAGAGTTTGAATCTCTCAAGCGACGGTTTCTAGTTTTGAAAAAAACTGTGCTGTGTAACTAGTTTTAGTATATGTATGTGGTCATTGCCGTGAGCCATCTTTGGAAGAAAAGTCGCAGTATTGGGAGCCATGGTTATAGTGTCACTATATTTAATTTTTGTTTTTCTTTTTAATAAATATTTCATTTTCACAAGATATTGTCTCCTAATCAGACCATGTCCACCTTGATTTAAAAAAAAAAAAAAAGAGTGGTTACAGTTTTTGTTTTACCTAGTCCTAAATTATATATTTTTAGTATTGGAATTGTGAACATCTAGATTATAAATTATGTTTCTATGTTTTTAGAATTTGTAAATACAATACAGGGACATGTAAATTGTGTATCTTTCGACCCGGATCTACATTTCAAGGTGGACCTAGGTCCACAGAATAATTTGCCCTTTGCCCTTACCCAGGGTTGGGCGTAGAGACGCTAGGGCCGGATGTTAGGGTGTGCAAATTGCCCAATAGCACATTGCCTCAATTTTTTGGGGGACCCAATATTCCATAATTAATTGAGTATACCGCATGGTAAAACCGTTATGTTTCCTCAACGGCACAGATGAGGCAATTTATATCGTGCACCAGGGTGCGCATTGCATTGTGTGCCCTGATGCAAAACGACGTCGTTTCAGATTTTTTTTTTTAAAAATTTCGCTACCCAGTGTTGGCGGTTAATTTTCTTTTAAAAAAAAATCTCATGTTAAAAAATGTACATAATTTTATACTAGAATACACATAATTTTATAAACAAATACACATAATTATATAAATAAATACACATAATTGTATAAACAAATACACATAATCACGTCAACTCCATACATAACTTACCAAAACGACGTCGTTTTGGGAGGCGCGGGGCGCACAATGCTATGTGCGTCGTGGTGCAGGGTATAACGATTGGCACAAATGATTTCAAGCCCTGAATCTGTAGAGATAACTTGAAACATGTACCATTCACCCGTTCACCACCAATACCGCATGAGAAATTGATTTTTGCCCCTAACAGGTCGTTCTACTTGCATTCTAAACAATAGCGGCAGCCCAATATGTAGCCACTAGCCAAGTAGTTTTAAGATGTTTTTTATTTTATTTTATTTTTCTGTTTGTTTGAACATTAGAGATAATAAGTTAGTAAGATTATTATGATTTGGTTATAAAGATTGCACTTATACCTTATTTATTTACAAGAATGGGGCGACAAACATCTAAAAAGCTGGCATGACCATGGAAGTTGGAAAGGAAGAATTGAGCACTGGAAGAAGGAGATCAGAAGAAACTCTCCAGAATTGCTAAGTATGGGAAGTTGAAGGACTAACACGATGTCGTTCGAACCCAGGAGGTTGCTAGGCCGTTATCAATAAACCAAATGACGTCGTAGGATGCGAGGTAGTTGTAGGCGGTTTAAATAAAAGACGGAACGATGCCGCTTGAAGCTTGGAGGTTGAACATACACTTCGGACGACACCATTTTGGAGCTAGCTGGAATGGAGTGGTCTGTGCTGAGAATCCGGAGTTTGTTAGAGTCATTTTGGATGTATTAGCCTTGTCTTTATAATTGTTGTTTTGTCAAGACTTGTTTTTTATGTTTTTGGAATTCAATCAAACCCTAGTTTCTTCTTTTCCCAAATTCTCTCTATTTCTCTACCTCTTCTTATTCTCTTAATTTCCAGATTTTCTTACTTCATTTCCGTTAAAAACCCTAGTCTGTGACATTTGGTATCAGAGTCCTATCATGGGAACCCCCTCTGCAGCATCAGTTGAAGAAAGGTTGAGCAGACTAGAAGCTGTGGCTTTGGAGGAAAATATTAGGATAACTTCTGGTCAACAAAACTTGGAGGACTCCTTCCAAGAGCTTAAGGCTCATATGGTGGGTTGGAAAGATGAGATTATGGAGTTTCTCAGATTGAACAGGCCACCACCACTACCCATGGATCACCCTTCAGTACAAGGATAGGTTCATCCTCAACAACCCAGTCCTGGGGAGTGTAGTGTGAACCCGGGAAGGAGGCAAGGAAAAGAGCCAGTAGTGGAAGGTCATGATGAGGTGCAGGAGGTGTTTGATGAGGAGGAAGGCCATGCTGAGGTCCAGACTGGCCATCCAATGGATCCCAGGGGTGCAGGCAGGCCTTGGGGTCCTAGGAGAGCGAACCTTGATGCTAGGCAAGGGCTCCACAACCATGGGGGTGAACATCTAATGAGGTACAAACAAGAGTTTCCTGTTTTTTATTATGAAAACCCTAGATTGTGGGTGGTGAGATGTGAAAGGTTTTTTATGTTAGCTAAGATTCCCAGAGATGAAATTATGCATGTTTTATGTGTGAATCTAACTGGGAAGGTGGCATTGTGGTATGAGGGATTTCTAAATGGCCTAAGGGAAGGGCTCTGTTGGTCCCGATAGGGTGGTAAAAAGTCTAGAGGGGGGGGGGGGGGGGTGAATAGACTTTTTATACTTTACATTTTTGAAAGAAGATGAAGCTAAAGATGCTAAGGGGACGATGGAGAAGCTGATAGAGGAATACCAAGAGGCAGACTCAGATTAATTTATTAATTAATCTAAAATGCTACTAAGGTCATTCTGGAGAAGAGGACACACTACAAAAAAACGCTGAAATAGCTACGGATCTAGCGACGGACGTATTCCGTAGCTAATTTAACGACGGACTAGCGACTATTTAGTGACCGAATTTATTTTTCTTGTTATATAGGATATTAGCGACGGATTAGCGACGGAATGGAGACGGCTATTACGACGGAACAATGTTGTCGTTAAATACGTAGCTATTATTAGCCGGAATTTTTGGCGCAAAACTTTGTGACGGATTAGCGACGGATTGGCGATGGTTTTTTCGCGGGTTAATTTCGAAATTATACTAGCTGTAAGATTTTCCCTTATAATATATATTGATATTATATATTAGGGCCTTAATTAAGTGGTGCAAGTTGACTAGGCTTATTAAGTGGTGTGGTTGGACTTAATAACTAGTAGTTGTTAGTCAACCAAACTCTGTGCCTAATATAATCCTGTATTGATGGGATACAGGATGGTTGTTGTTAGCACATTCAGTTACGGTACTCAGACCGCTCAGTAGATACCAATACACCATCTAGGGTTCTGAGTCAGGTCTGAGGCAAAACATGGCTAACGGTCTACCGTTAAGAGGCAACACAACAGGAACATCAACTATGGCTGGAGATCAACACGGCTACGCTTCCGCTATCATACGAGGTTAGGTTTCTCGTATACTATGGTTTATATAGTTAGACTATTGTATGTCTAACACTAGCTACATACTAGCGACGGACTAAAACATTCGTCGCTATTCTTTAAGGTTCACGTATTCGTGATTCAAGTCTAGCGACGGATACTCATATCCGTCGCTAGAATTAGTACGGGCGTTAGACTACATAGCGACGGAAATATGGATCCGTAGCTATCTAACGACGGACTGTCAAATCCGTCGCTAGGATGACTAGAAGGCTTCGTTCGTATGGGTTCAATAGCGACGGACTATTATATCCGTCGTTAATGTTATTAACAAAATTTTCTATTAAAGGTTTCATAGTGACGGAATCGCTATCCGTCGCTAGGAGCAAGAACGGAAAATTAATTAATATCGCAGCTCTTACTTTTAATAAAACATAACGACGGAATTTTAATCCGTCGCTAGAGTTCATAAAGCACAATTTACTCAGCCCTAAGTCCATAAGGGTTTTGGAATATCGCAGCCTTATTCTCTCTCTCATACCACAGCCCTTCGACAGTCCGACCAGCCACAACCCTCTCTCATAGCTTACTCTCTCTCATACTGCAGCCCTCCGACCAGCCACAGCCCATAGCCGAAGGGTCGACGAAGGCTCCACGGCGTCTCTGCTCTCCGACGAAGGCTCCACGGCTTCTCTGCTCTCCAGCGAAGGCTCCACGACTCTACGGCGAATCTGCGAAGGCCCTCGAACTGTGAAGGTAATTTATACATTTATACATCTCTCCGAACATTGATTACTTCTCCAATTCCTCGTCTGCTCTCATCACACAGTGTTTGATTATTTCTGGGGTCATTGCCCTGTAGTGTTTGTCAAAATTCTGTTTTCTGGAGTATCACATAAATAGATACATAAATGGAGTATCACATTCTCACCCTGCCATTCAGTTTTCTGCAATGTAGTGTTTGTCAATGTTTTATGCAAATCTTTAATAATTGTTTGTCAAAGTTTAGTATTAAAATTAAACTCTAGGCAGTGTAGTACATAAATTAAACTCTAGGCAGTGTCCTATTTAATACACATGAGCTTTTTCCTTTGTTTCGGAAAATTAAAATTAAATAGGCAATGTCCTATTTAAATTAAACTTTTTCCTAGTGTTAAAATTAAACTCTAGGCAGTGACCAAGAGCTTGTTAAGTGCATGCTGAAATGAGAACACATGTTTTGCTAAGTTGACTACAAGTTTGGAAGTATGTGGACATCATAAGGAAGATGCACGTGGGTACATCTACACATATTCTTTCTCATTTAAATAATTTGCTATGTATCTCAAATCATTCTCAGTTGAAGGAAATTTTCGGAGATACATTATTTGACTCAAGCAAGAATCAGCAGTGTTGGTTTTATGACTTTTGGGCAGTCAACGGTAGGCCAACACTACCGTTAGAGTAACGAGAGTATAGGAAAATATAGGAGAAATATATGGCGAAAATATAGGAATGTTGTATTGATGAGTATTGCTCGTGGATTGCTGAAAGTCCCCCCCTTCCTCTATGTGAGGGGTTTATTTATACATATTTTGGGCTTAGAGTAAGGAATAAGAATTCTAGACTGCCTCATATTGGGAGTCTTAGTTACATAATAAGACTTAATTCTATTATACAAGAAATAATGAATCAAATTATGATTATATCAGGAATTACAGGCCCAATCCTTGACAAACTCTTGATCTGAGTTGCTCTGTACTGTGTGTCATTCTTTGGCTTCATTGATCCAGTTA